CACCAAGGGACAGGGGTGCAGGAGAGACAAATCCCAGGGGGCCAAGTGCAGACAATGAGGAAAAGGGCAGGAGGGGAAGTGTCAGTGGGAGGGGGGGGACAGGGTGATGCTGGGAGAGGAGAGGAGAGGAGAGGAGAGGAGAGGAGAGGAGAGAGGAAGGGCACTGAGGGCTGGAGGGGGAGGTGCTGGGAGAAGGCTTGAAAGAAGGGATGGGCATGAGGAAGGTCAGGATGGAGCAAACTGTGTGTGAGGCCACAGGGGAAGACAGGGTGAGGAACTGCGCACAGTATGTTTGAAATGTCAAACTCTTCAGCGCTGGAGAAGGCAGGGGAGAAGAGAACACCCACTGCCGTGAATAGAACAGTTCAGAAGGCTCATTTCAGACTGTACGCCTCTTCACCAGGCATTCTGATTCAGCCAAGAACATTGTAGTGAAATGAATAGGCCACTTAATACCTCTCTGAGCCTGCAACTTTGAAGTTAGAAATCCAGCTTGGCCAGAAATCTGAGAATGCACTGGAAATATTGGAGGGAAATCTGCCACTGTCAAGCTGGTGGGTATGAGGGCACCCACCAAATGCTATCTGAGCACAGCAGAACACTCAGAAGATCCTGGAAATATTTTTGAAAAGAACATACATTATAGCTGAGACTGTGCACTGAGTGAGGGGGTGGGTGCCTGGGGAGCAAGAGTAGGTTGGCTTAGAGGTTTGGCTCTGTTCCTGGGGAGATTGGGAGGAGAAGCGGGGGAGAACTGGCTGCCCGGGAGGGGTTGGGGGAAGTGGGGCTGGCCAGAGGCGCAGCAAGGGGAGCAGGAGTGTTCCAATTAAAGTAAAAATTTTGGGAAACCCTGGTCTAACCAGCTTTCCGTCTGTCTTACATCCCATTTATCCAATCCATATTCCTTAACTTGCTGGCAAGAATATTGTGGGTGACCATATCAAAAGCATTGCTAAAGCTGGCCCTGGGAGATTTAGGAGGTCCAGAAACAACTTATTTGAATATTCATTATTTGATTAATGAATATGCAAATGAAAATTACTGGTCCTCCAAAAGTTCGTGAATGGATTTACTGGTCCCCATGTCAAAAAGTTTGGGAAGCCCTGATCTACAGTTTCACAGATGTGCTATATTTAAACAAGGTCTGGGCCTCTATAATTAATAATTGTCCCCCGCTGGCTCCCAGAGGGCTTTGCTTTTGAAATGTACAAGAGCCCTCCCGGGGCTCTTGTACATTTATTTACAGGGAGTACAGGGCCAGCAGGGAACTATTTGAGTCCAGGGGCGGCCCGTGACTATAGGCCAACTTGGCCGTCGCGTAGGGCACCGCCTTCAATGGGGCGCCCAGGGTGCCCGATGATGACATCACACCACTGATGGCTATGCAGGCGGGGGCACCGATCACACGTTCTGCCTGGGGCGCCAACTGCCGCAGCCCACCTTGGGCCACCCCTGTTTGAGTCCCCAGCTCACCACAGGCTCCCCGCAGCACCTCTGCTTTTAAAAGGTAGCAAGAGTCCTGTTCTTGCTACATTTCAAAGGTGGAAGCAACGCCAGGTTCCCCGCTGCACCCCTGCCTCTTCTCCCCAAGAAGACAGTGCTGGGTGGAACTGGCTTTTAAGCCAGCTCCCCCAGCACTAAATCCTACTCCCCACCACTTGCTGCCTCTCTCTGATAGAGGCAACAAGGGGGAGGGGGAAGTGAAGTGACTAGTCGAGTCACTAATCAACTATCCTATAAGCATTTACTTATCAGATAGTCGGCTAGTCTCTTACATACCTACTTCAGGATAAAAGCTAACATTAGAGACCTAACTAATATTTCAATACAATAATAACTATCACAAGCAGCTTTAAAGGGGATTTTAAATAATGCAAGTACTCAGCCTGAAATGTATAACTTAGACAACAATGAAATTCAGTCTATTGTTTTTGAACTTTCACAGCACAAACTGGTTCTTAAACCAATTCCCTTCATTGCCAGTTACATATACCATTACTGCTGCTGTTTGCTTTCTCCAATGCTGAAAATACATTAAAATTGAAAACCATACATTGTCTGCCTTTAAAAGCTTTAAAATTAAACAAAACCTAGCACTTTGTTCTGAATAAGAGACTAGATAATTAAGTGACTGACATTTTTAAGTCAAAGTAATACTTGCAAAAGTTTAATGATATAGTTGTTAATCTTAACACAAGGGAATGCAGCTCCCATGTTACTTAAGAATCTGAGTTTAACATATGCCAACTATGAAATCAGATAAATATGGAACTGCTTCTAGAACATGCTACAAAAGGATACTAGCACCCACCTCATATTTTCTAGCTCCATACATTCTCTTTCTTATAGAAACCACCCTTTTGTCTCTAAACACAGCCCAAAGCAACACCTAACTAACAGTAGTTTTAAAGCATTCATTTCTCCAACACTGGGTCCCCACTGGGCTAGCTGTTTTAATGTTGTCTAAAATTCTGGACAAAACTCTGAATGCTGTTGCATTTTCACCATCAGCATTGAAACTAAAACACTCATTCCATGATCAAATTTCTCTTTCAGACTAAAGTAATCAGTCAATGCCAAATACCTTGCCCACTGGGCCACTGAAGGTAGTTTAATGATAGCAATATAAGGTGTATGTTAATACACATTTAATATTTCATTAAATTAAGTCCTTTTAGTTAAATGTCTATTTCTTTGTCCTAAAGTTTAGT